TTGTTTGCGTCAAAAGTTGGCCTCGTTATGGAATTCATTATATCTTCAGTCGATTACAACAAATTCAAAAGAAATAGCCTTTTTATAAGACTTTTTTTACACAACAAAAGGAAAATTACAACTTTTTAGAAACAAACACAGGATCGTTATTTGGATCGCTGCTTGCGTGAGATCTTTGCCTGTGCCGGGAGCGCTTTGACTCGTGGACCACCGAATCACAGATTCTGATTGAATCGTGAGGGGTTTAGTGATTCTTCCTTCGTTTATCGAAGTGAGAATTTAAAGTGAATATCTTATCAAAGTAAGATGATCACTCTTCTTAAGATCAAGTCAAAGCTCGAATCTCAAGGAATTGTCAGAAGTTCAAGAACTCTGCTTTGTTTGCTCTAAAAAATGCTCAGCCAATACTCTCTGATCCGCCCTCCTCAAGAATCGATCTCAGGGGGGATTTATAGCCTCCAAGAACAGTTAGAGAAAATGAGCTCGCGAGACAGCATTTGCTGTCTCGGCTGCCGAGACAGTGTTTGCTGTCTCGGCCGAGACAGTAAACACTGTCTCGGAAAACCCAACTGCCCAGCAGTTTCCACTGTAATTGTCTTCCCACGTTTCAAACTCCGTTATTTTGACAGTTATCCACGTGATTCTCGCCCACGATGTCTTCCACGTCCTTGGCAGTTAATGGACACGTGTACGGCAATTATCAAGGTGGGTTTTTGACCATTTCAACACTGTCTCGCTGGCGAGACAGTAAAAGACTGTCTCGCTGCGAGACAGTAAAAGACTGTCTCGCTGCGAGACAGTAAACACTGTCTCGCTTGCGAGACAGTAAAGACTGTCTCGCTGGCGGGACAGTTCATATCTGTCTTGGTTTTTCAAAACAGTATGAGATCAATTCTTGTGATTTTTTGAGTAATCTTCTCTATATTTGGGATATCTATTAGCATTTTTTAACACCTACAATATTAAGTTGATACATTCTATCACAAGTAGCCATTTCCCACAAACATCCCACTCTTAGACATGATTACATTGTTTGACTCAAAAGCAACCAAAAACTCTTTCTTACAAAGAAGATCAACAGAAACTAAGTTCTTTCTAATTTCGGGTACATACAGTGCATTTATAAGATTCAATTTCTTTCCGGAAGTAAAATCTATTTCAACAGTCCCTTTTTCAGCAACATTTTCACAAGCATTGTTCCCCATTTGCGCTTTTATAATTTTTGAAGTTTCTTCAAATCCTTTGAACATGAATTTGTCCTTGCAAACATGGATTGTTACACCAGAATCAAGCCACCATCCAGACTTAACAGAAGTCACATTAATTTTAGAAATTATAGCGACCAGATTCTCTTCTATTTTGCAGAAGTCTTTGATTTTACATTATTATTTTTCTGTGATGACATTCTTTAGCAAGATGTCCAAGCTTACCGCAAATAAAATAGGACCCTTTTTCTTCTAAAAATTCTTTTTTTTAAGTGTTGTCCACTTTTCTTTACTTAAAGGTTTCCATATTTAACAAAAGATTCGTTCTTTTCCACTATATGAACCTTAGAATCACTTTGAATAGAAATTTTTGAATCACATAATCGTGACTCCTCTTTAACTCGAAGATTTTTCTGAAGCTGATCCAAAGAGATATCCTCAGTTTTATGCATTATTAATCTTTCCAAGATGCGGGTAGTTTTGCGATAATTACAGCAACTTGAAAGGATTCTGGAAGAACTATTTTAAGAATACGAATCTTATTAACTAGAACATCCAATTCATGAACTTGCTTCAGGACATATTTGTCATCAACCATTTTATATTCTAAATATTTTGTAATTAAATACTTGTTTGTACCTTCCTCCTCGGCTTTGTATTTAAATTCTAGTGCGTTCTAGATTTCCCTTACTGACTTTATCTGGTGAAAAGATCATACAGCCAGTCTGGAAGTGTGTTCAAAATATGACCGCGACAGAGCACATCATCTTCCTCTCGTTTCGCCTTTTGCTTCATGATTTCTTCTATTTCCTCCTCAACAGGTTGTTTCCCTTTTGCACTTGATTTTGGATCTTCCATAGGCTGCAAGTTGGGGTTGTGGATGTAGGAGAACTTCAATGTTGTAAGAAGGAACATAGAAAAATTATTCCCGTCGAATCGGTCCAGTTTGACCATGTCTTGATTCATCATCTTGATTGACTCCGACTCCATTGTAGCAGATATATTTCTTTAAGATTGTTAGTAAAATAATGAAGGAGAGATAATTTCTGAGACGTGAAACACTTTCCTTTTAGAAATATTTGTCCCACTTTAAATTCAAAGTTGCTTCAGGTTAATGCAAATTTCCTTCCCATGATACAACAGAAAATAAAATTTCCAGCAAGCAAATCTGAAAATTTTCACTAATTCGTTGGAAACAAGCTTGTAGTATTACAGATGTTTTTTAGGAGAAAAGTTTTGAAAAAGAAGTAAATTTAGATGTCTCAAATCATAAACTATTTATTGGTTTGAAAAGGTGTTTCCAATAGTCATAACTTTTCAAAACACCCCTTTGAAAAAACAAACACTTTCAACAGTCTTCTTCCAACAGTCACTTGTCTGTTGACATTTTGAAAATTCAAAAATTTAAAAACCGCGCATTATTCGCGTTACCCGCACACGGGTTTAGAAGTCTACGTTTTGACCTATTCATCAAAGCCAAATAATCATTAAATGCTTTTAAACCTCTAAAAGAAGGCTCAAATATCCGATGCGGGACTATCTTGTTTTTACAAACAGATACTAACAATCCAAAGTACTGGCCAAGCGGCTAAGGCTTATTCTTCCTGATATAATTTCACGCACCAAACCAAAGTGCTTTTATGCAAGGCAGGCTAATCATATCGCAAGATAATGTGATGGTGCATGGCTTTTGAAACCCTGCACTATCTAAAGGCGACCCTGTTTACTTCTGTTGACTGCATGCATGAATCCACCCTCATCAATCACGCAGTGAACTCAAACTCGTTGTCAAGGCGATCCTGTTTATTTCTGTGGATTGCTCAATTTATCAGGTCCCATTGGTATTAGTTCGTCGTTCGTAGGGGCCCAAGAATCTAGATGTCAACACGCGATTGTGAGACGCTATCGGCGGAAACCTCTCTACTCAAAAATGAAGTTGTTGTAAGTGCGATGCGGGCTTCAAAATTGACAGCGCGGAGTCGAGTTATGGATGCATCATTCAAGACCATAAAATTTGAGAGACAAAGGGCTAGTTTGGTAAAAAATAAAATAAAATTTGCATGCTTATCAAAATTGCTTCTACTCTAAGAGGCCATTTTAGGAGCAACTTAAATGTTTTTAAAAGTAGCTTCTGATTTTTTTTCCCTATGTAGCTTTTCTCTTTTAACGATAATCATTGAGCATAGTTCTACCAAACAACTTGCTGCTTTTTGAAATAGCTTTTGATATTTGATCACCAAACAACTATTTTCAACAGTTTATATGAGTTTTTTTTTTCCTATAAGCTGCTTTTACAAGCAAATTATTATAAGCCCCGACAACACTAAACTAGCTCTAATTTGGAATAATAACTTATGAGAATCGGAGAATCTACTAAATATCGAAAAAAAAATCCTTGTATTTTACCAACTGCCCTTTTTTGTGGTAATTTTGGAATAGTTTGTAAGATTGAAAAAAAATATATTCTTTCAAAATTTCAGCTGAGGTTTCAATAGCAAATCTACCAAATACAAGATACACATTCATACATATTGCCTCTAATACAACATTCTCACCCCCTCTCCGTCAAAATATTTTCAGAAGCTTAAATAATCAACATCTTCGATTTGACGCCTCAAAATCTTTTCGATGATCCGCACAACAGGGAATGCATACAAAATAACAAACATGTATATATTGCGCAAGTTATGATCATAAATATCAATGTGTAGTCTGGGCTGCAATCCGGCAAATGATCTTCCTCTTGTTGGAGGAGGTGGCGACGGAGGCGCTGGTTGATCGGCATTTTGATAAATATCAAGAGATGATCTTCTTCTTGTTCGAGGAGAAGCCGCTTTTTTTTTTTTTTTTTTGTTTTTTTTTTTTTTTTTTTTTTGAGAGGAGATCGAGGATGACCGAATTTGTTGTGTTTATATAGGCATTAAATGTTTAGGTTGCTACGAGGAGGGAATTTTTTTTTGGGGGGGTATGTAGTTATTAATGGGTATTATAGAGGATTAAGGATGATCATAGGTTGTTTCGGGTGTAGGCTTTCCTATTACTAAAATTTTGTGGCTCGTTACGGAGGTGAAATTGAATTGCGAGGAGAGGTGGAAGTTGTTTATATCCAATGTTTTGGTAGTTATGTCGGAGGCTAATTATGCATTAAGCTTGCGGTATTCTAAGATTATGTTCATGTTTGTAGCTCACATGTAGGCATGTAAAAACACTTGCAAGGTCGATAAAAAGACAAATCAGCACCAAGCGCTCTGCACAATATAGGCAAGGACAATCACCACAGTTGCATCCCGTTCGCGTTCGATACGTTTGGTTATCTTGCAGCTGCATACGTTTGGTTATCTTGCAGCTGATGCAGCGGAGTTCCTTAGGAGGGTACAAAAATTTATGAATAGGAATGTGGCTACAGCAGGATCAGCTGACTACGTGTTTCGTCGGTTGGGTTTTGCTATTCAGAAAGGATTAGCGGCGCAGCTTGTTGCCCGCTTGTCATCATCACATGTATAATATTTTCCGTAAATAAAATTAAAATTAACACTTCCAAAGTAAAAAAAAAAAAAAATTGTTCCTTGTCTAAACGTAACACGATTTCTATCACTCGTAGTTTAATCTGAATATTACGAAGTACTTGAATTTGTTTGAAGCATTTATTTTGTGTCAAAACTGTGAAACGAAGATACGTGGACACGCAAAAGTAGCAAGTGGTACCCTTCAGCCTTCAACAATCTCACATGTAAAACTAAGTTAAAAATTTTTTATTAAGAAAAGATAAGTGATTTTAAGTGCAAGCAAATCCCCTGATGCTGAAAGTTGCGGTTCTTTTCTTTATCAAAAAAGCACACGTAGATAAATTTCACCCAAATACACTCCCCTTATTGATGTTAATGGCCGTCATCAACAACTGATAGGCACTTGTAAAAGAAGGGTGAGGGAGGGGGGAGAACACATTCACGCAAATCGAAATCGCCTAAATCCCTTCTCAAATCATAGGAATAACTCTCATATGCATGCAGTAATTACACAAACCGATACTATACGAATAAGCGCCACTAATGGAGTAAAACAAATGAAATAGCACCACAAATACTTCAGCTCCCAGTGAGCTCTCTAGGTAAGATCATCCTCTTCATCTTCCTTGGCTTTGAGCGCATTCTTTGCTCTGAGCAGGAGTGTTGTTTTCCAAGGATCCTGCATTTCATCGACAAACCAAGGGTGAACAAGGGAATCAACAATAGAAGAGAAAAGAAGACAAACTAACGAGAGTAAATACGTTTTAAAATAATGTCCGTAATTGTGTGAACCAGTCACTAAACTAGACAATTGAGAAGGCAATCCCTCTATTATAATTTATGAGTTTCCCCAATCTTATCAGATGCAATATTCCCAAAAGGGAAATGTTTTGATTTGAAAATAACACAAGTATAGCAAGTAATAAGGATGCATGCCAATTAAGATAAGGTATTCTGCCCAAGTGATCTATATCAGCATCTCTCCCTATAGAAATTAATGCAAATCAGGGGACTCACTTGCTATTCACTTCTCTCTATAATTCTCATCCCCTAACTGGTGCCCACAGGCATCCTTAGAAAATACACAAACCTAATAAATGTTGTATCTCCAAGAAATTTAATTTTTTGGGTTTCAACACCGGGACTTGTAGTGCACTGAAAACTTAGTAGGACAAATAAAGAAAACTGAAAACCGAAGTTATTTCAGGATCCCATGACATGCCAAAAATAATGTGCTAAGGTCGCATATACATGGTCGTTCAAACCCAACGGGTTTGCCTATGAAGGACTCAGTCAAGAGTCCGAGAGAGGGTTCACATGTCCTGAAGACTGTTAAATGTGATACTAGTTAACTATGAATTGGTGTTAGCTGATTAACTTCTTGGCCAACAAGCAGGTAATGCTAGATCAAATTACGGGAAAACCTAAGAATGTTTGCCAGGCGACAGGCAGTTGAGCACATGTTATGGGAAGAACAGGAGAAGTTAATCCAATCAAGCAAAACATTCTGCAGACTGTGACAGGAAGAGAAAAAAGGTTTTCTATAGAGAGATATTGATATCTCAGGCATAATAGGAAGAAACAGTCTCATCTATACTCAAGATTATGAAAAAAAAGGTGATAAATAAAGCCGGTTGATGTAAGAAAACCTATCCTATGAGTCAAGCAATTTATGCACATAGGAATTCCAACCAAAGAGCAATCCTCCAAAATTCTCCTTAACAAAAATGCAGTTGATAAGAAGGGAAGGCTTCAAAGAATGATAAATTTGCAACAGAAACTACACTCACTTTTAGGGCATAGGTCAGCCAAAGAGCCAAACAGAGAGTATTCACTATTCCCGCATAAAAAAGAACCTATATCGGTTCTGCTAGTACAAGACATTTCTTAAAAATTATAAAACTTCAAATTTATTATCGATGACAAGCTAAAACGTGCAATAAACTGAATGATCAGTAAAAGAAGCTGCTTGCTCTTTGGGTTTAGCTACAATTCTTACCACTCTAAGTTGCAAAATAAGTACACAAAAAATGCCCTCAATAAAAGAGCTCCAAGATATCTTACAACCATTAGTCTATTTTGTATTTTACTTTCTCATGATTCTGACAAGATGAATATAATATATTATATCGATCTAAAGCAAAACTTTGCATCAAAATACCGAAAACAAAGCATGTAAGGCAACAAAGAAATGAAAATATATAGATAAGGCATTATTGTAGAAAATATACCAGCCGTGTCATACTATCAAATTCTTTGATGCAATCAGTGAACTTCCCAACATCCTCCTCGTCCATTGCTGCAGCTAAATCCTGCCAAATATATGACTTTCAATATCTAAAAACATGTGTCATGCTGACAAAGATGTCATATTTATTTGCATATGTCAATAGTGTAATGATCAAGGTGCCTTATAAGGGTAAATATTCAGTGCGAAATCTATCCTTAATGTACAAACATTAATACCCTTCTGTAAGCAAAGCATTAGTAGAAAAGCACAGTAAAAATAATTCAGTCTCTTAAAGAAAAGCTTACAGCCAAAAGTTTGTATTCACGTGTCCCTGAAAAGGTTGGATCAAGTTCCTGCACAGCCAAATGCAAGAAATTTTAGGTTCTTTTTAAATTTTCAGAGGCATCAGTCAGTCATTATAGTACACCGCAGCAGTTTACCTGATATCGCTCTAATGCATTAGTAATTCCTACAACATCTCCTCTGCATAGTTGACATATGCCAGCATTAAGGAGAATGCCCTTAACACTGTACTTAAGAAGATTGTTGCTGATCGATTGACGTGCTATTGCTTCAAATATCTCAATTGCCTTTGGGTATCTGAAGAAAAATTCAGTACTGTTTTAAATAAACACGCTTCTTAGCCTGCTCTATGTGATGTAAGCAGAGCTTATGAAGTACATGTATGTATGAACAGAAGTAGGCAAGGCTTTCAATTGAGACAGCAGATGAAACATTCAAGTCAAATTGCAAACTTAATACGGTAATACTCAAAATATTATAAAACAAGCCACATATATATTTCTATTAAAGAAAAACCTCCAGAAGATAACATGTAAATTTCCATATATATATATATATATATATATATGAGAAAAATGGGTATGATTGGTACCAAGCATAAATTTTGTGCTTGGTAGTGAGGTGTCTCATTCCCATCCACTCATTCAATTGGGGGGACCACATTCAACCCATGTGAATGTGATCCCCCATTTGAATGAGTGGAGGATAATATGTCACCTTACTACTAAGCATAAATTTTGTGCTTGGTACCAAGTATACCCATATTCCTCTCTCTCTCTCTCTCTATCTCTCTCTCTCTCTCTATCTCTCTCTCTCTCTCTCTCTCTCTCTATTATATATATTATATATATATATATATATAATATAGAGAGAGAGAGAGAGAGAGGTGAACTTATGTCAACTTAAGTGGACAAGAGGCCTTTGTCCACAAACTTTCTATCCACTCATATATATATATATATAGAGAAAAATGGAGAAACTTGGTACCAAGTTGTTCAAACAACTTGGTAGTGATGTGGCCTAACTTGTCCCTACATCTACATTGGAGTTGGTGAAGGGTGGTTGAGGCTCTATCTTCGAGGTGTGATGTAGGGGGAAGATTATGCCACATCACTACAAGTTGCTTGGTAACAAGTTTCTCCATTTCTCTCATATATATATATATATATAATATATATATATATATATATATATATATATATAAGTCTCTTCATATCTTGCATGGATCGCCTAGGTATCATCATATGGAGTAGAGAGTTTGGTGGATGGTCCACTTAAGTTGACAAAAGAATCTCTCTCTCTCTCATATATATATATATATGACAAAGACTCTCTTCTCTTATATATATATTTATATATATATTAAGAGAAGAGAGATTCTTTTGTCATAATAATATACTATAATATATATATATTAATATATATAATAGAGAGAGAGAGAGAGAATATGGGTATGCTTGGTACCAAGCACAAAAAAGTTGTGCTTGGCAGTGAGGTGTCACATCTCCCTCCACTCATTCAAATATGGGACCACATTCACATGGGTAATGAGTGGATGAGGATGTACACATCACTACCAGCATAAAATTGTGGTTGGTACCAAGCATACCCATATTCTCATATTATATATATATATATATATATATTATATATTATATATATATATTATATATATGAGAGAGAGAGAATTTTTTGGGGCAAAACATCAGGATTAAATCAACATATAAAGTGTTCAGATCAAAATTATAACTATAATGTCAGAACCACAATGAAAATCTCATATTACATTCCAAACAATAACCTACACACTACAGTGCGAAGCACGAAAATTCTTTCATAACTAATTAAATCAGAAGTGAAAAATGACTCTGTAATGAATCGTCACGGATGCCCACCCATCCAAAATATCATCTGCCAACTAAAGCAACTTCAATGGTAAAAGCTAAGAAGAAAGTATTAATAACCATCCATAATCTTTTTGAATATTTATATTATAAATTTTATTCTATGCATAAAAACATACTATTATAAGCAGGGACAAGTCCAGCATTGTTCGGTTGAGAGGGCTCAATGTCATGGATAAGTAAATAAAGTCAAGCTTGTAATTGAATATCCTCTATTTTGTTGATTGGAAAAGGACTATCCTTCATAAATTAAACGACATAGAAGCTCCAATAACCCAATTTAATTACCCCAATAAGTTAAAAATCTCCAAATAGAATAGTACAACGTACTTAAAAATCCTGGACGTGCTCACATATATTCTTTAAAAATAACAAATGTTACTTTTTTGCTTTATTATACTTTTCAAAATTATAATGATAGTTCTTTTCCAGATATTAGTCCCTTAATTCCTTAATATTTGAAATTAGTCTTGAAATCACAGAAATTGCTAATAGGTTCCCAATTATTGTAAGTTATTTAAAAAGTAATCCCTTAAACCATAAACATTGCTAATGTGTCCTCCAATTATGTACGTTATTTCAAGTTAACCTCTCCATTCAAGAGTAGCATCACAAGATATAGCAATTTGATTGCCTAATAGCAATTTCACTAACTTGAGGGACTATTTTTGAAAATATTGAAAATTTTAAGGGGCTAATACAAAAAGCAATGCAATATATAATATGTCTTAAGGGCTTTTCTGGGAAAAGACATGTCAACATGTTCATACCAAATCATGAGCCGTGGTATGGGTCCCATTTCTTGAAACTGATGTTCACATGGATTCAGCGATTTAAGAAGCTAGACAAGTTACCATTATAACCTCAATCAATTGAATGACTAGTAGCCCAGTTGTTTCATTTTGTTAGTTATTTTAATAAGTAGCATAGGCTATGTATACAACTATACATATTACCTTAAAAAACCTCTTCCGTCAGATTGCTTATCCTTGAACATAAGCAGTTGAAACACAAATCAAGCCGTAATACCAAATTATTTTTGATTTGATACATTGAACTCATTGACGATTCTATAGATTTATCTGCTTGGAAGAGGTTATCTGACGTTTAGCATAAATCAATCTGGTATTACGAATGGATAGGTCCATGACAATATTCATCATGTTACAGTGATCTTGATCTGCATGATTAAGGGTGTGATCATGATCAAACATGATTGTGATTTCTAGTGTGAATCATGTGATAAGAATCAAAGTCGTAGATAAGCTGTCTGCTATGATTCAATGTATTTGTATCGTAAGATTCATCACTAAAGAAGGAAGTTGTAGGCATTGGAATTTGAAATTTAAGGTAAAACTAATTATGTACAAGGTTTTGCAATATTGTTGACTTGCGCAGGAGACCATCGAATCTCAATACATTTCTCGAATTTTCACGCAATCAAATGATGAAAGACATACAGAATTAACTATATTAATATAAGAACTTGCATTATTATTTTAAGCAAGATAACTTACTGTTCTAGCTGAGCAGAGAATTGTGCAACTTTCTGCTTGCACTGATTTGCAGAAGTTGTCACCTCCTCACTTTGGAAAAGATCAGCAGCTCTCTCAAAGTAGTCCATTGACTTCTCAATGTCTTGTTCTTGCTCATATAAATCACCAAGTTCCTAATAACAAATAAATTATCAGCAAAAAATACATACGCTTTTCAAAAATCTCATAGAGGACACATCTAATTCTAGATGGGACCATTAAAATCAGTACCAAATAAATCAGAAGATAGTAATAGTAAACCAAAAGTAATAAAAATTATGGACTAATAATGGTTCCAAAGTTGAAATAATATTCGTAAATTAGTCATAATCCACAATTCAAAATGAATAAGGTCCGCCACCTAATGCATATGGAGTCTAGTACACAAAATATTTCCACTTGTTTTCAGGTCCACCAAGTATCGGAACTGTTACCTTGCAGTATCTTGCAGCCATATTTAATCTGCCGATATCCAAGAAAAGATTCACAGCTTGGTTGAGGGAGTTGGCAGCATCTACAGAAATAGATGAGATGTACAATCAACAGAAAGATTAAAAACTTCGTTTTTATGGTGCTTGCCGGATACTAACACAAGATATAATTACGAATTTGAAATATAAGCAATCTCAACTCATCCTATGACAGAGAAGAAGATAACATAACCTTGTATTAATTAGAAGAACCATCAAGTGAGGCTACATATATACTTTAACTATTCAGAGGCAGTTAATAATTTTTTATACACAAATATATTATTCTTCTTGAATGCATTTTGCATCCATTAGACTCAAAAGCTGTGATCTGACAATCGTATGTGCATACAGGGTCGTACTTTTTGACTCGAACAGTTAAATAAAGTTTATTATTGTCACTTCTTACAAAAACAATTGGACAAGAATTAATTTTGAAGAAATAAATTGCATGCCATCAAGTAATATGTCAGTAAAAAGACATCTGCAGCAGCCTAATGTTGGCCATTTTAGTATTTCTTTTGTCTCTAGACTCTCTACAACAATTATAATCAGACAGGTACCCATGCATTATCT